CACCTTAGTTGTGAACTTAAGTCTGCAAAGAGGTTTAACTGGTACCTACTTTGTATTCTTTGTCTTCTCCTAGTATTTTAACAGTTTAACTTTTCAAACATTATTGTTTATATTACATCTTATCCTGGCTTCCATGCTGATTCAATTGCAATTGCTCTAGTTTTGTTGTTTGGGGTTAATCTTATTCATTTGTGTGTTTTTTAACTTTTGCTAGCTGCCCTTTTGCTAGCTGCTAGCTCAGCTATTGGGTGGTATAAAATTGAAATAAATACATAACTATGAAGCATTTTTCCAAATATGTGTATTTTGTACAAACTGTTCCAAATGTTTTCATTGTTTGGATGCCCTTGCTCCCTTCCTCCCTTTATTTGTTTGCATGCTGCATTGAAAAAGTATTATTTTGACATCTGTGCTCTAGTTCATGTTCAGGAATTGCACATTTGGTAAATTTGCACAGAAACGGAAATCACACCATTTTTCCACCCACCCCCAGATGCACCATTGTCTCTGTTGCATCAAAAAGACTCTGCTGAAAAAATATATGCTACATGATAGGAACCAGTGCTCTGCTTCCTGGAAAGACTACATGATGATAAATGGACATATTTAAAATATCCCCCGGTATTTCACAGCAGGGACATAATTCTCATACCCAGATTCTCATACAAGGAGCTCTTTGTGAATTCATTGCTGTTTACATATTACTGGAGGATCTTCTCCACCTGCTCTGTGCTGCATTCATTTAGTAGGTAATATCCTGACCTCCACTTTTTCAACTCTTGTAAACTGGGTTGAATATCCTTGAAGGCAAACCTTTAGTTCTGTTTGCAACCAAACTGGAGTGAGGTAGGTAAAAACCTGAGTTCAAAATTGAGCAATGTGATGTGGGATAAAATTGAGTGTCCAAAGCCATGGCTTGGAGGCAGACCACATGCCTTGGATGCAGAAAGCCCCTGTTTCCATCCCTGGCATTTCCAGGTAGAGCCGGGAATGGAGCTTGCCTGAAATCCTGGAAAGCTGCTGCCGGGCAGTGTCAGCATACTGGACTAGCCTCCTACATTTCTAAGGCTGCTGCTGATGTTACGAGCTGATGTTGCATCATTCTGATAAAAGCTGTGGAGAGGAGAGGAGGGGAGGGAGGGGAGAGGGGAGGAGAGGAGAGGGAAGTTTCCATATGAGTTTTTCTACTACATCATCTCTTAGTATCACTATCAGAGCTTTTGGAGAGAAAATGGTTATCATTCACAACAGCACCATCCAAGTTTGTCCTCCCTGATGCACACACATGGACAATGTCACACAGCCCTGTGCCCTAGTTCCCCAGCACCACATTTGTGACCCATGAATGGGATGGAAATTTAGGGCAGAAGTAGGGAAGTTTTAAAGAGCTGGCACATTTTAAAAACAAAGAGGTTAATCATAGCTAAATCTGCTTCTGGTCTGTTTGCAGAAAAAGGCAGGATATAAATGTTATAAAGTATGAATGAATGCATGAGTGTCTATATAAATATCCAACAATGTATTCTCCGTACTTGAAAATCTATCTCACTAGGTGAAGAGTGATTGTTTTTAAATTCTGAAATTTCGAAAGTTCCAAATTCTGCAGGAAAAAATGCAAGTATCATCTGAAAAATAAACTGCCAAGTACTTTTGTGTTTGAAAGAAAAAAACAACCACCAAGACCACTAAAGAAAATGTATTTATAGTCATGATTTTGCATTATCTTCATACAGCATTTTAAATATTTTAGTGCGGAGTAAGAACAGGACTCATACACATCCCATTTCCTTTTACCTTTTTTCCCTTGAAGCGAAAACCAACAGATCCAAGCAGGAAGTGTTCATTTCCCATCTCTAAAATTCTATGTTGCAGGTCTAATTGTCTTGGGTTAATCAACCAACACTGCCACTTTGACCGAGAACATCATGGGTTCGTTGTCTGCACAACTGTGCCAACTGTGTAACAATCAGCTATTTCTGAGCTGAGCTGAGCACTGGAGCCAAATACATTCCGCTGACTAGGAGAGGATCAGCTACATAGAACAGGCACCAAGAGATTAAAAATGATGCCACTGCAATGCATTGTGACAGCAGAGAGAAAAACTCGCTCTTGATAAGTAGTACAAGCTTTAATAGCCTTTTTCTGTCCCAACAAAGGACCCCCGAGACCCATAGTTCTAGGAGAGGGTGCATCCAGGTCCCATCACTGCTGTTTGTGAGTACCTAACATGAGAACACAACGGAAGGAGTTTCCAAGAAATATTAAATATTGTATTTTCCAGCTGTGACTCTTTTCGGGGTATTCTGTGATATTTTCTGGAGTTCTCCCTTGGTGATGCTTCAGAAAATAAAACTGTGAACTTTTCAAAAGGAATATAAGTTTGCAGTATAGTTTTGTCATGGATACGAAACTATACTTCAGAAATGACAGCCTGAAAGGGAGCATTCATTGGGCTCATATTTATAGGAGGTCAATATGTTCTCCCTACGATGGGAGACTGTGAGGGTTCCCAAGGTGGCCTGGATAAACCAGTGAACCAGGACAGAACCCAGCAACTCAGGGCTTTCCAGTCTGGGTTCAGCAGGCCAGGGTACGGAATGGCTGGTTGCCCAAGTCAGCATTCCAAGTATGAACATCTTGATCATTCTAGACACCTTCACTGCAGCTCGCCCTGTCTCTAGGGAAGTGTGGTAGGGCTGTGGTTGACTCTAACCTCCAGCAACATTGACCAGCAGGGCCAATAGTCAGGGATGTTCTTTACGAGAAGTGAATAGGATTACAGCTCCACTCACTGTGACCCACTCTGCATTAAGGAAGCACCCCCTTGCTTCCCTCCCCCTCTTCCCCATTGATTACTCTGTTCTGTTCTGTTCCATCCGTGTTGCATGTCCATGGATTGTGTCCTCCAGGGAAACCAATCCTCTGCCTCTGTTGAAAGGAACAGGGGACAGACATGTGGTCACTGGATCGGAGCAACTAGTCCGCTCAACTTTACCCCTGAAGAGTCTTTACCTTGTCTCCTCTATGTCATTCAGGGTTTGCTGCTCAACAGGGAGCTATGACTAACCCCAACAAGCAAAGATAGACTCACATGCTGTTCGTTGCATGATGCTCATGACCCAGCCAATATTTTATGCATGAGGTTCCTGCCCCTTTAAAAACCTTCCATTGGCAGTTGGAGCCGTTGGAACGAAGAGTGAAGCCAACCATTAGGGTTCTTCCTGTGGACTCCAGCTGTGCACATCTGGAAATAACTGAGACCCTGTCCAGGACTGAGGTTAGCAAATCAAGCAGGGATGGGCAGACTGAAGACTGGTGGCACCTTCAGTTTCATGAAGTTCACCATGAAGTTCACCAGTGGGAGCTAAGTGCAAAACAGTGACTTGGGGGCAGCGGGCAGTCATACAGTTAGAATTAAAGGACATGGATGCCTCCAAGCCAGGAATTGGTTTTCAGTACCAGCACTGAGCTCATGCTCCTATAAAGTAGCAATCTACCACTGGTTTTCCTACAAGCTTTCTGGGGGACCTTCTTGTGGCTGCTGGATTCTAAAACTTCAATGAACCTACTGCCAATCACCTAGGGATTTAGCTAAAAAAATCTGCTGTATTCCCTTCCCAGCCCAGGGTTGGATAGTCTGAGGGAAGAAGAGGGTATGGGACCCTTAGGGAGAGGAAATACTGGAGGGGAAGTTTATGGAGTTCAACAAGTTTATTATACTAGCCAAAGGCCATGACAAATATCTCAAATGAATGTACATAAACAACAAAATGAAGAATTTCAGCAATATAAATAAAAATAAATTAAAGTATAATATGAACAGAAATTCATCTTTAACTCTGAATCCCCAATGCAGTTTATAGCAATTTTGGTTGATTGTCTCTTCCTGATCTTTTTGCTGCCAAAGCAAATAAAGCAACTTTATGTGCCACATAACTATTACATCACTTAAAAAGAACTGCTTCTGCCAAGACGTTCCTGTATCCATATGATAGCCAGGGTTTCAAGAATGTCTCTCTAGGGTCAGCATATAGAGGACAAATTAACCTGTAATGAATGAAGTCTTCAACTTGGTATAAACTACAAATGCATAATCTGCATTCAAGAGGCGCCTTGTTTTATCATCCATCTAAAACTGCAGTTGGCATAACTTGAAATCTCAACTCAGTAAAGGCTTTTCTTAAAGACAATCCGAACAGATAGCTAGCTCTATAATCTTCCGTTTTCAAAAAGGAAACCACTGGAAGAATACCAGGAAGTCAAGGCTTCATCATCTGGCACATAGCTATTGCTTTTCTGATCTGAATACCATCTTTACTCTAGATAACAGACAATTAAGGGAATGGTTATTTTGGATAGACTCTAGAAAAGACCTCCACTTAATTAAAAACTCATCGGGAGGTTTATTGCATTAAATGGTAGGGCAGTAAGAACACAAGGAGAGACATTTTCTTTTTTGTAAATGTTTTGACAAATACCTTTTCCCTCATTGGAGTGCTCTGTGGAGTTGATGCCTGAGACATGTGTATTCAGACCAGGCATAGTATATTTATGTCTTTAACTACAAAGATATTCTCATGTTCAATCAGGAAGTGCATTTTTTCCTAATTCAAATATGACTCTAGGAAACTTCATATAAGTGGTAAATTTGTAAGCTGCCCAGAGAGCCGTATGGGTAATGTGGTGGCACATACATTGAATTAATGAACAAATGGATGGATGGATGAAATTTCAGGACTTTCCATTGCAGGGGCATTAAATTTGCAGCTTTTTGCAGCAATGTTTATGATCCCCGCAAACTGTTGCTTTGTTTGATGGACAGGTTCACATTTCAAAGCACAGGGTGCAGAATTAAAGAAGGTTTTCTGACCTGCATGTTCAAGAATTTTGACTTAGGTTTGGGTAAAATACTTGCAAGTTCTCATCCGGTTCAATCCCCAGATAGGTGAACATGATGAAAAGCCCAGGTGGTTCCTGAGCCTGTTTTAAAGGCTGCTAGAATGGATTCTACACAAGATAGTGATGAAGAAGATGGTGGAGAGAAAACACTTCAATCCCATGAAACCTACCTATGTCAGGGTAAGTCTCATGGGTACCCAGAGTGATGGATACTTGTATGGGTGAATCTTGAAAGTGAGAGCTTTGGTGGCATGAGAAGTGTTTGAAGAACTGGTAAGTTTAGAGGGGAGGAAAGAAAGTTAATGAGAGACCTACAAGTGGTCTTCAAAAGTTTGAAGGGCTATCATGAAGATGGTGAGGCAGACTTCTTCTCTGTTGCTGTAGAAGACAGGACTAGAACTTATGGCTGGAAATTACAAGGATGCAGATTTTGACTAAACATTGAAGAATCTTCATATGGGCTGAGAGAGTTGTTTGATGGTGGAATAAACTGTCCCAGGAGATGGCAAGCTCTCTTTCCCTAAGATCTAGTGTGGTGAAGTTGTTTAGAGCGTGGGACTGGGACTCAGGCAATCTGGATTCTAGTCCCTGCCCAGCCATGGAGCCAACTGGGTAACTTTGGGCCAGTCACAGACTCTAAGCCCTACCTATCTCATAGGGTTGTTGTTGTGAGGATGAGACTGAGAGGAGGAGGAGGAGAATGATGTAAGCCACCTTGAGTTCCTTGAAAGGAAGAAAGTGGTAAATAAATTATTATTATTATTATTATTATTATTATTATTATTATTATTATTATTTCGGAAGGGTATGGCTGGGCTTCTATCAGGGATGCTATCATTGCATCTTGCCTAGTAGATCTAGCACTGAGTAGAGACTGGACTTCAGGGTATCTTCCAGTAATTCTTTGTTTGTTTTATCCCAAAAACATCTCAGGTGAAAGAGAGTCCAGAGAATTGTGTGGCTTTCTGTTTCTTCTTCTTCCTTTTTGTAGGCTTGAAACAACTATATGAGTCTCAACAACTCTGTGATGTCACCCTGGGTGTTGAAGGAAGAAGCTTTCCTTGCCACAGGTGACTCTGTACCTTCTAGACAATGTACCTTGTATACCTTTATTCTGACCAATTTCTATTGTACCTTGATATTTCTGTGGTTTTCAATGGGAGTGTGAGATAATCATGTCTCACAGATGCTGGTTGAAGTCCAAATTGGACTCTAGCTGTCATCCTTCTGAAGATGGGTGGAAACTCCACAGCCTAGTGGATACATATACTTAGGGTGGAATCCTACTGTGAAGATTGCAAGCCTTTGGACTCGTGGGCTTTTGCTCAACCTATGCAGAATGGGAGGAGTATCGGAGCTCATGCTGGCCTCCCCAACTTCATACCCTGTGTTTTTGAGAGTAAGGCCTTTTCACTTCATTTCCAAAGGGCAGCAAAGGAGGCTGGAGAGTCCCCAAGATAGCTCGCACCCTGGCATCACCACTGTCCTCCCCACCCAGGCCACCATGTCTCTTCTCACCCTCTCTGAGGCCGCTTCCCAGCCTCAGAGGGGCAACCGGTGCAGTCCTTCCACCCTGCAATGTGGAGGGGAAAACTGATGGATTCCCCTCTCCAAGGTTGAAGTGCTCTGTCCAACCCTAGTGCTAGGAATCCGAAATATTCATCCCCAAGGGCTAAAAGATTGCTCCCTTGCTCAGCCAAAGGAACCTAATTCTGCAGAATGAGTAATCCACCTACTCAAAAGCCAGAAACTTAGCAATACACTGGGATGTCTGGACTTCTCAGCCCCTCTTTTTCCTGTTCCACCAAGTTAGTTTAGCTTTTTAACCGTCCTTGTTTCTCTCAACACTTTTTCTTGGCTAGAATAAATGCCTGACCACTCACGGAACAGTCAGGCCACTACGAGGGTATTAGCCATCCCCAAGACTCTGTCTTTGTGGCGGAATTGTGTCTGACATTTTCTGTTCAGTCATCATTTATATTCTTCCGTAAGAGGCCAGTTTTATATTGCCTTTACTGAGTAGGTTCCCTCATTGCTCACATGATTTCCATCTGCCACATCTTCTGGCCGGCAGCAATAGGTAGGTCTCCCTGTCTGTGGTGAAGTTTATCTTCTGTGCCCTTAAAATCAAGCAGGCCCATGTTAAAATAATTTCTGGGGTTAAGCTTGAGTGAGGCTGTTGAGCTATATCATTTTGTTTCACTGAGATGCCATGGGGCCTACAGGCTCTCTGATTTTGGAACAGGAACATGGGGGTGTCAGTATTTGACGCCATCAGATGCTAGAGTAGTCGGTTCCCCACCAGTTCATGTAAAGGTGAAACAGAGGCAAGATGGAGCCTGGCTGTCTCCCTGTTCTGGATCGCCAGGCACCCCAGATGAGCCTCCGAGGCCTCAACCACATGCTCACACTGAAAATCCACCAGGTTGATGGGCACGACAGTGAGGAATTTCCCACACCACCTCCATCCTTGCAAAACTCACTCCTGCAAGATGTGTTTGCTGTTCAAACAGGCATTGAAGCCTTGGCTGTTCCCAGGTTTTCAATTGCATGAGGTGGATGATCTTTAATGTAAACTGCCACTGCTTCCAATGCATAACATTCCGCTAGATGGTTAATTCCTTTTGTTTAATTCTTCAAAGTAACAATGAACCATGAATAAATAGTAACATATACAAGTAGGTGAGTCCATTTCTTTGCCATCTTTCTGGTCACTCGGGATCTCAGGTGCAAGCAAGATTCTCTGATAATGTTATCATTCAGGGTAGCAAAATCCATCGTCACCTGTTGCCAAAAGAAAACCATTGATCAGATCATACTCTTACCCCTTTTGATGGTCCTTTTTTTCTAAATATAGGATGCTGTTAGCATCAGTCAGCCCTTATTTCCGAGATATCTTCATCAATTCCAGCCATGAGTCTCAAAACGGGGAAATCCAACTCAAGGACATGGCTGCCTCCACGCTTCACAGCCTGTTGGACTATCTCTATACGGAGGAGCTGTCTCTCACAGCAGAGACTGCTCAGGACCTTTTCACCGCAGCTAGCAAGCTCCAAATTCTTCCCCTGAAAGAAGCCGCTGGAAGGTAATGCTAGCTGTCCCCGCAGCATGTGCCATTTTTACATTAAGATGCATGAGAATTCCATTTCCGTTCATTAAACATCAAAACGTTCCCCATTTGCAGCTCCACAGGTGAACGTGTTCCTGCCAAGGCTCATGAATGCTTCCAATGGTCTCACTCCTGTCTTTCTCTTTTTTGGCAGAACACGCAAACTGTGCCTTTCAGCACAGTTGGGGTCGTCGTCCCCCCCCCCCCCCAGCCGGGAAAACACACAACCGAATGTGCACTTTTCTCCTATAGAGTAAATGTGAAAAGGCATCGTTGATTCAAAATGTGTCTTTTTTTACATGCACATGTTTCAGAAGGAAGCACAAGTTCCACCGTGTGTGAGCTTTTCCTGAAAAAAAATGTGCTTGTGTTCACCTTTGTGGTTGGAAAGTGCAAACGGGGCATGTTCAAGTTAAAAATGCATAAACCAACAGGCCATTTCTGACTTTGCATGAGACACTTTCTAAGAAATGATTTACAGAGGAAATTATTATTTTCACCAACACTGTCTCGAAGCCAGGGTAGCTTGCAAAAATACCTTTGTTTACATCTGTGATGTTATAGAAGATATGTGATTCCTTTGCTTGTATATTAATATGAAAGAGAAATGGCCAAAAGTGCATTCATGTCAGGACCAACCTTGGACCAAGAGAAAAATGTTGCTTTGGGCAGCAGATTCCACAGAACCACCATTTTTCCAGGTCTCATCTCCATCCATATAAAATTGGAGCAGAGGATTGAAGAGCAAAAGCTTTAGAATGGGGCTGTCAATACCAATGTTACATATGATTTTGGAGCAAACATATCTAATTCATTAAAAGCATGGGGTTGAAGGCAAGTTCTGGACAATGTGGCCCAAGCTATGGACTGATGCAGAGTTAGGATGCTCTGACAGATGGTTCTTCAGCTTCAGCATGAGCTCCATTGAGGGGAAGCCCACCATCCAAGTAAGTGATTGGTTCCACTGCTGAACTTTCTCCTAATATTTGCCAAACTCTGCCCTCCTGTAACTCAAGCCCATAAGTAATAGCCCTTCTGTCCAAGGCAACAGGGAGAAAGTCTTCTTGCATGTGATACCCCTTCAGAGACTCGGAAAGGGCAATCAAGTCCCCCTTCAGTCTTCTCTGCTCCAGGCTAAACCTTTCCCATTCTATCAAGATAGAGGTTTGCAGACCAAAAAGGTGACCTACCCCTTGAAGCTGTCTAGCTGTGGCATCTGAAAGCAACACCGGTGTTGTTGCTGTGCCATTGTTTCTCTGATGGTGGTAGAGGGAGAAAAGAGACGTGCTGGGCACGTGAGAGAGGACTTGGGCCTACAGGATGCAAATCCTCTTGTCCCCCCAGACATCCCTGGCAAGGGAGATGCACTTGCTGAAACCACCAGGAAAGGGAGATGTTAAAAAGGGATAGCCAATGGCCTCCTAAAAATGGGATTCAGGGGGAGAGGAAGCTGCCATCAGACACAGGATGGGTCTGTATAACCATAAGCACCACCATCTTTAAAAAGAAAAAAGAGGTTCCATTCTAGGATTAATACATGCTCTGGGGCAGTGATGCCTCCACGGAGAAAGCCTTCCTCTGAGTACTGTTGGATCTGGTATGCTAAATAGAAGGAACCCATAAAAAGATTTCCTCTGGAAACTGTAAGGGGAGGAGGCCTTGGTGTGGAACTGGCAACGGTGTTCTGTGCTCTTCTTGCCAGGTTTCTAGAGATGAACATCTCCATGAACAATTGCCTCAGCCTTTATGGTCTAGCTCATCAACACAATCATGAAGCTCTGACCCAAGCAACCTCACGCTACATCAAGCAACACTTTGGGCCCCTGACTGAGCAGGATGCCTTCCTGAGCCTGCAGCACGATGCCTTGACCAACCTCATATCCTCAGAGAGCCTGGAGGTATCCTCTGAACTGATCATCTACCAAGCTGTGCGCAACTGGGTAGAGGCGGCCGCCTCAACGCGCCTCCCACTGTTTAAGGAGCTCCTTGGACATGTCCGCTTCCCACTGCTCACCCACGAGGAGCTCACCGATGTCCAGGCAGATATTGCAGAGTACTACAGACACGTGCGTCTGAGGTGGAAAGAGCTGGACGGAGCTGGGAGGCTCCAAGAGAGTGGCGGGCTCAGAAAGGGCATGTACAATGACTATTTTGTGTGTGTGGAGGTCAGTGAGAACAGGATCCAGGGCGGGAATGGCCCTGAATCTTTCCTGCTTTGCTTTGACCCTCAGGCAGAGAAGTGGGAAAAGTTGCCCCCTGTGAAGTACCTGAGCTATTCTGGATGTGCCTCCCTGGACTGCAAGCTTTACTTATCTGGCGGTCAGGAGGACAACTGTGCTTTTGTTGACTCCCTGTATGAGTACAATTCCTTGACCAGCCAGTGGACTCAGCTCCCATCCATGTCTGCAGCTCGGGCAGTGCATCCCTTCCTAGCTTGCAACAAAATACTCTATGCTCTGGGAGGCTGCAGCGACGCGGGGCCTCTCTCTTCAGCCGAGGCCTTCAGCGTGGCGCACAATGCGTGGGCCCCCATCTGTAACCTGCCCCTTGCCTTGATGTACCCCGCATCCACTGTGCTCAAAAGCAAGCTCTATCTCATGGGGGGGAAGGCCACCAGGAGCTACAGGGGCCTTCTCATCTATGACACCAACACTGACTGGTGGACTGAGGTGCCCATGGAGTTTGCCTGCTATGGAGCAGCCGCCATTTCAGTTGGCCCCGGGATTTATGTTTTTGGTGGGTACACAGAAGAACGAAGCAACCTTCTGACCCATGGCACGACAGCCACCGAAGAGGTTCCTTTCTGCACCAAAGGGAGCTTTTACCTCCACGAGAACGGCAGAGTATGCTGGGACATGAATATCCCAGACCTGCCAGTGGCCCTGGCATTTGCTTGTGCAGTGCAGTGGCAAGGTAAGATATACCTGTTGGCAGGCAAAGATGAGCAGCAGAGATATAGTGCAATTTACAGCTGGGCTCCGGAGGATATGAGCTGGACTCAGTGCCCAGAAGAAATCCCTGCTACCAACAGTGACACACAAATATTCAGCTGCACAGCCCTGAAGATGCCCCAGAAGCCAATCCGGACCCTCCTGCTAGAGACAGTCGCAACCTCAGCTGTGGTTGGGGTGGATGTTGCAAAGAAAGGACACCTATCCCCATCTGCTAGAGATGGCTGCACCCTGAACTGTTGCTGGGGTGGGAGATAATCCCCAGTGGTCATCTCTGCATCCATCTTGTCACCTGTGCTTTTATCAACAGGCTCCCATCAACTGCCTGCCTCTTCCTCTAGCAGGGCTTCCCTCTGGCTGCACTGATGCACCCTTTGAAATAAGGGCTCCGCTTGGGATGGACAGAATGGTTGGACAGCGATCCACTCCTGGTAATCTTCTCTTTAGCTAGAACATGGTTGCATCTGCCCTAGACTCTTATTAAAAGCCCCAGGCTCTGCTTGAATGGCTGGCTATTTTCTCCATCCAGGTGGAAACTATTTCTTTAGTGTCTTTCCTTATTATGATTATAACCTGATTTTCCTCTGAAGAACTCTGGACATCTCAAATCTGGCTGCCAACAAGGACATGCAGGGCTGTGTCTGCTTAAAATGAGGAGCAGAAATTATATCACACATCTTCAGACCATTTAAAGGAGTAGTGGGGAAGGCATGGCCCTCTAGATGTTCGGTCTCCAGCTCCCATCACCTTCAGTCAGCATAGCCAGGGATTATAGGAGCTGGAGTCAAATAACAGAGGCTAGTTATTACTGCTGCCAGTTTTCATGGGTCTATGAGATTTTGTACAAGAGACCTTTATTATGCTCTGCACACAGCTGATTAGATGATCCTGTGGCCCTCCAGTTTTGTTTCTGTCTTTGCACAAATGCACAAGTGCAAAAAGTGTTTCATGTTGCTTTGACAAATTATACCCCATTTTCCCAGCTCTTTAAAAAAAAAAAGTTGCAAGTGCTGTTTAAAGAGCTGGGAAAATGGGGTATAATTTGTCAAAGCAACAGGAAACACTTCTTGCACTTGTGCCTTTGTACTGTTTTGCTATACTGCAGTGCCCCCTAGAGGCTATGTAGCAGTAAAGCAGGAAAGGGAAGGATGGCTGCACAATGCTCAGATGGCGAATCTGTGACAAAATGGGAAGCAGATACAAGAGATTAGCATCTTCATATGGAAAAGCTCTGGGGTGCTCCCAGTTCAAGAGGTAGTAAGCATCGGCATAGCAGTTACTAAGAGCACGAGTGATGGGGTGCCAATTATGCTCATGTCCTGCGGACCACAAGCATCTGTGTGACTACTGTGCCAACATCAGGCCTTTGTCTGATCAGACATGTTGCATCTTATGCCAGCCACAGGATACCTAACCCTGATTCAGAGCCACTATACATGGAACCAACCCAGATCTTTTCATTGCAATTAAGAAACCAGAAGGCGGCAATGGAAATGCCCAGTGAGCTGATTCCTGCCCTCTTAACTGCAATGCAGACATTGGAACCTGTTTCACTGCAGTACCTCAAAGCTGGGGGTGGGAAACACAGCCATTCTGCAGGGTGGGTTTTCCCCTCTGCCGTCAGAGGCATGTTGGCATCACTGGCGGTAACAGGCCATGAAGCGAATCTCTGATCATAAACACAACGACAGTAGCGGATGGAACCAGGGCAAGACTGGGTTCCAAAACAACCTGCAGCTGAGGCCCACAGGTCAAAAAAAGAAACATATTTGCATATGCTAATTTCTATATCCTTTCAGTGCACGTGTCCGTGCGTGTGTGTGTGCTCACACCTGTAAAGGACCCCTATTTGTAAAAGGGGGGTATGGACTGAGGGATAGAGGGCAATTGAGTTCCAAAAGGCAACCTCAGGCAGAAAGATGGGAGGAAGCGAGGGCAAAAAGACAGTTCATCTGGGGGATCCATTCAGTAGAGACTCTCAAGGTTCCTGTAAGATTGATTTTGCAAATGTGTATGGATGCATTTTCACAAAATTCATTTCCGTGGATGATGGACCACTTCCCTGACAATCCACAAAACATAGGGAGAATGGATTTTATTCAGTTCATACATCCCTGAGATTTCATTCATGCGCTAAAAAAGAACCAATAGAGAACAGCTGTAGGGAAATAGCCATTCAGAGATTCTCCCCACCTTACAGAGAGCAAGGCTTTTGTTGAGCTTATGATGTGGGAAGGATCCCCATGTGTCTTGGACCCCTTGGAAAGTTACAAAGGCTCAGGACCTCTGGAAATCCGTTGTCCCATTATGCCTCGGTGTCATTTTGTGTCGTGTTTTAACAACGGTAGTATTTCTTCTAAAAGTTATTGAAAAGCCACAAAGCTCTTGATGTGCAATTTCCTGAGCAGCAGCTTTTTGGAGACTCCCTTCAGGTGTCTGATCATTATGCATGCTGATAAGTGCAATGCCTTAATTCGATGCCTGTCATGGTGGTTTGGGGCTTTTAACTCTCAACAATGATGCCTTTACTCTTCGCCCATCTGTTTGATGTGTTTCCAGCGTGGTGACAGCAGGGAGAGATCCCATCACTGCGAGGGCATGCAATCAAATGGACGCGGAGAGACTGCTGGGGGCTCTTGCTTACTGATTTAGCCCTGCCAACCCGTTAAAAGTTCTCCACAACCATATGAACAAATTCCACCAGCAAGTTTGTCCCACTGGCAGAAACGCTGGAACCTTTAAGGAAGAATGGGCTGCATCCTGCCTATTTCTCCTTTCTCGGTCTTTTCCCCATTTAGCGACCTCTAGTGACACCCACCTTATAATTGCAGGGCATCCCCAGCCCAAACTCAGTGGGTACCGGGCACATGAACATTTTCCCCATACAACAACCCTTCTCACCATGCTGAAGTGAAATAGCAGGAAACCTTCATTTTTGAAGTCACTATTTAATAAGACTTGACACTGAGAAAAAATGGAGCACAAAAGGGCTTCATCAAACTGGCTTTCCCTCCACAAACAGGGAAATATACTTTTCCCTCCCTAAAAGTATATAAAACCTGTACATATAAAACATGCATTCACTAGTTCCCAAAAGATCCAGAGTATGCCCTTCCCAGTCCCATTTTGAAAATAAAATATTGACACCTCCAAACTGAAAGGACTATGTTTAAAACAATCCAAGAAGCCCAGGATTACAAGGTGGCTGGTGTGTGTATTCACTGCACGTGCAACGAGAGAGCCCTCTCTCAGGCTCAAAACCGTGTGAAAAATGTTTCCCATGAGCTGTAAGAGCCTGCTGATTATTGCCCCGTGTGGGAAGCCGCCTGACTACTGCTTATCAGAGGAGACCCTCGCAGAATGACTACCCAGGCTGGCCAGTGGCCCCTCGTGGCCAGGAAGGAGAATGAGAGGGGGCCCTTTTTCAGTGGAACTTTACTCGAGCAGCAGAGGTGCACCCAAGCACTGGCATATCTTGTGTTCCTGGCCTTGCTCTTTGGTCTTGACATCTGCTTGGCTTGCCAGCCCAAGCCTTGCGTTTTGTTCCTCAGTCTTGCTTAATTTATTTATTTATTTATTTTTAAAAACATTTTTATGCCGCCCCATTCGCCGAAGCCTCGGGGCGGCTCACATAATCTTTGGTCCTAACTCTGTGTTCCCACATCCTGACTTCGTCTAGGTTAGGAACAGACAAATCAGTCCATATCAGTTCCATGCCAGTTTTGCATGCATTCAATCTCATTTCTTCATTGTTCTACGAAATGTTAAAGAATATTTTTTTTCAAATATGAAAGCAAATACAAAAAAATGGAATTTTGATGTCACATCTAATATAGTCCTCCCCACCCCCTGCCCCCACCCCCAATTCTGCAGGCAAAAGGAAACGGAGACTCCACTAGTTGTTTGGAGACTAAAAAAAAGATTATTTATGTTGTTGGGTAATATTTAAGGTTTTTTCCCATAATCCATGCAAAGACTTCTGTGGATATGTTGCTGCATATGTCCCTTATCTGTATATGACATAAAATATACCATATAGTATAAAAATCACATTTTAATTTTCCCTTCAGCTAATTTAAGTTGATAAATTAATTTCTTCCACGGCTTTTTGCCACAGCTCAATGTACTAAGACATCAATGTCAAAAGTTCTGCAGTTTTCCAACTTTTAGCTTCCATCAGCATGAACATGATTAATTCCTTTGATATCATTTCTGCATGTTGTTCTTCCCATATTACTAATTAAGCCAGTGGTGGTGTGACATAGTTTGATGTGGAATGCTTGCCATTTCTGAAGATATCATGTTCCCAAATTATAACACAGGACAGAACCACCACATCTGAATAGCTAAACCTTGTTGGTCACAATTTCTCCAACACTGTCCATTATTTCTATTTTATCTCCTTGTAAATGTAATATACCAATAGCATAACAAACAATTGCCTCTAAGGCTTATTGATACAGTTTTCTATTATCCCTAAAGCACAAAAATTGCATTTATTTTCATGGGCATTTCTCTATGCACTTTTGGAGTGAATTACTGCATTGCAAAACTGAAAAATAACTGTTCTGGTTCTCCTGTTAGTCCAGGAAATATACATTAGGTTGGTTTGCTTAAAATGCTGACCAAGCAAAGCCTTCTCCTATCCAAACTCCAGACTGCTTTCTGTGGCATGAACTAGATCATTTTCTCTTCAGTCCTCCCAGTTCTTCAAAAAAGGAACAGGAAGGGAAAGAAAAATTCTCCAAGTGAATGCCTACCTATGAAGGTGGTGCTGACATGAGAAATTTGGATTCTGGGATCACAGGCTACACTTCTTGAAAGATGGACTGCTGGCAAAGGATGGTTTGCATCTAACTAGGACTGGAAAGAATGTGCTTGGCCACAACATGAAGAATTTTATCAGGACAGTTTTAATCCCTAAATTCCCTAAACTGAATCCCTACAGGGGATGGAGAAGTACACCTGGGCTTAACAACAGATGAAAGCTTATGCACTACAACAGAGAAAGCAACTCTAACAGTGCCCAATAATAGTATTCCAAAAAGAAGGAAGAATGCTAAAGAATGAAGCGTCTTCAGTGTCTATATACTAATTCCCAAGTACAGGAAACAAACAGCATGAACTTGAACTCTGAATACAGGAGAGAGAATACAACCTGATAAATATAACTGAAGTGTGATGGAATGACTCTCAAGAGTGGAATTCAACAATTGAAGGCTATCACCTGTTCAAGAGAAACAGAGGCGGAGTTGCAC